TTATTTGTAGTGTTCTGTCTGCCGACAGGTCCATATGAACAGGATCCTTCCATCCTTTTTTCGGACTGGGACCTGTTCATATACGTTCTTGGCAGATGATCCAGAAGTGGTTTGCCATTGCCTTCTTCTGTGTGTGAATGGAGTAATTGTTGGGATGCCACGGAGAAACCGGGGAAGCTCCCGGAGGAAATCTCCGTGTTTCCTAGACCACGGCGGTGCCCGAATTTATAACTTGTGTTGGGCAAGGCCGTTAGACTATTCAAGCACACATTTAAAACAAATATTGTGCCATTTTGTTTTACTTTCTGGTGGGATAAATTAAGAGAAAGGAAATTACAAGTTTTCAAATGCTATACCCTATTTAATATATTAAACATGTTATCTGAGGACATTACTAGTTGGTATTGTCCCGCAAGATGGTTACCAACACATAAATCAAACAGAACACATTTACTACTCCCAATATAATACACTGTAACATATATACATACACACACATATGCACCAGGCCAGGAGGAATGCCACAGTTTCAAGTAATACATTTCATAAAATAATTTGCATACAAAGAGATTGCTTTCGAAACGTTGGCAGAAGATAAGTTTTATTCCCCATTCAGCCACATGACACAGCTTGTAACTCAAAAAAAGTCTTTCATGATTTTTTAAATGTTTAAAATCTCTTGAAATATTCATTCCTTTCACTTTATTGTGACAATCGCATAGCACAAGCATAGACCACCTTTTTCTCAGTATGATAACACTGCTCCAAAGAAAGCAGTATGCTGGTAAAAAAAATCCAGAAACTGGAAACACTGTACTTTGGAATGCCAACAAGCTGGTGCTGCAACATTTTTACAGAAAGAAGCAACAGAGAAAATGTTATGCCAGGTTTTTGGGCCAACTGTGCAACCTTCTACAAGTCCTATCTGACCTCATTAAATTTCTTTTCGTGAGAAAGGTTGCGTTAAGAAATAGCCCATTCAATAAAAATTTGCGATCTCTAGCATTTAGAGACCTTCTAAGCTTTCCTACGAATGCACAGACATAGAAAGTTATTTATAATTAAGTAATGTTAACACACTAACTGCCATATTTAGAGAGTTCCGATGGGCAGATTAAAACAGAGCAGAAAATATCAATCAAAAACCTGACAAGGAGATAAATCACATACGTTGCCAAGAAACAAGAAATAAATATTTACACACCTGCTTAATGCGGATCGTGATATTCCACCAACAGTGAAAGAACCTGGAGACGTACTTGTAGCATCACGGATTCGGATACCACTATCATCATCTAATAAAATCAGCCGTGATTCTCGCACAAATAGCCCATGGTTCTTTTTGCACTTAAACAAAAGCAACACGGGAGTTATATATTTTGCATAAGTTGTACTGTAATTTACACACTGAGAATACTTCTGCAAAGTTGTTTTGTAAATTCAACATTGAGAATATATCTGCATTTAAGACACGAGTATTTTATAACAAATACGAGCCATTTACTGATCGTCCTGGTCAGCATACAATCTAAATTTCTACATTTCGGTGGTAACTTCATAACAGACATGGAGAGAGTGAGGTTTTCCAAAATTATGGAAATCCCTCCTACCACAATACACATCCAAAAATTGAGGCAAGATTAGCTACAAACTCTGTGCAGTCTGGTAGGTTGTTATCCAACACAGAAGACCACAATCTGAAATGACTTACGAGATTAGCCACACATCATAAAAACCTGAAGACCTTTACAATTAGTAGTATGTGAAATAAACACGAATGAATACTTACTTTAAAATATGATTTTCCTTGGACTTTCCCATTATTCTTTCCTTTTGGTTTATCAAGTATAACACCAAACCATTTTCAACTTGCAAAGTCAGTACTGCCAACATAAGCATTACCACCACAAACATCTTTCCCAGTCACCTCAACTCGCTGATTCAAACGCAGTGACTTTTCTGCCATATCTGAAAAAAAATGTATTCCAAATTTAGAACACGTTGAGTTTGAACACTGCTCAACATCTGTAAAACACTGCATTCCAAATGGTGGGCCAACTGTGCAGCCTTCTACAAGTCCTATCTGACCTCATTAAATTTCTTTTCGTGAGAAAGCTTGCATTAAGAAAATGCCCATTCAATAAAAATTTGCGATCTCTAGCATTTAGAGGAAAGGGTCAATGCAGACATCGTGTTACACAAAATGGGGAGATTGAGTATGGACAGACACTGAGAATTGTCTTGTGGTTGCTAAATAACAAATGGCAGCTACATAAACAATTACATTTGATTATGACACTCTTGGGCATAAAAATAACTTTTTATGTTAGTAAAATAATTCAAAAAACTTCAACTCCTGTGATCAGGTACACAATAGGTCAAAGGCATGTTTACAAAAGTACATGAATAAAATCTTTACAAACATCTGATACCACGCACTCAGCTATAACATGAACTTTTATTTAAGTTGCTTTATAAATCATTTCATGACTACCAACCATCATAGTTGAGAAGTTATCATTCATGCTTCAACACAAGAGACTGTCGTTTCAAATCTCTTCCACAAACCAGTTATTTTGAACAATATTTCTTGTGGTTTCCAGAGGCCTCTCCAGGAAAATTGTAATTTTAAATTCGCCATAACCACTCCTTCCACATCCTTTCATAAATTATCCTACCATTCAACGCTATAAAACGTGGGTAGTTAAAGGTATAAACAAAGATAAATAAATAAAACATGAATGAAATTATTAAGTATGAAGCCACAGATGAGAAAATGAATGGCAAATTGCAATAGACCATTACACTCATACGCATGTTGCCTGTGCCAAACTACATGCTACGAAGGGTAAATACGTGGTCAGCTGTTACATCTCCATGCATTTTGCAATCGAACTGAGTAGTCTCTGAGTGGCCTCTTCTCCTTCCTGGGGAGAAAGCTCCTGAAAATAAATGAGCTGGCCTGGAAATAGTGACACCACTCTGGGAGTGGACCCCAGTGGCCCTGCCTAAAGAATCCATTTTATTGGCAGAGTGGTCCTAGATCAAAACTTTTAATTCAAATATTAAATAGAAGTTCATGTTGTGTATTCAAAATTATACATGTAGAATAAGTATAAACATGTAATTATTGCAAATAAAATTCTCTTCAACAAATTAAAATTTCAAGAAGTACTGACACTTATATCTGCGAGCATCATTAAAAAAAACAGTGTGATCACTTTCAGATGAAGTTAAACAATTACTCATAAATGTTCAAATCAAAGAATTGCAAAAGGTGAGTGTGGTTTCAATAAGAGTATTTTATACTACCAACAAAGGCATAGAATACACAATATCTCATTTTATAGTTTTCTGTAAAGCCCATAATAGGAAATTCAAAGTAACTGTACCACAATTTCTCTTGTTTAGTTCAGGAGAAGACTTTCACCTCACACTAATTTGTATTGCAGCACAAAGGAAATATATATTGTGACGTGTTGCCGTGAGAGCAGCACAACAATGTCAATAAACAGTTTAGTTGTCTGCTTATTGACATTCTTGCGTTTGGCATTGTTGTATTCGTTTATAATTGTTGTGTCTGTTTAATGACATTGTTGCGTTTTTGTTTTATTATCTTACTATTTTTTTACTATTTTTTACTATAAAAATTTGTGATTCCTCGTTGTCCTCAATAAATTACGTCATCAACAATGTCAACTATAAACAAACTCGGCATTGTTGTGGAACACAACAATGCCGAGTACAACACAACAATGCCGAGTAAACAAATAACGCTTCACTACCGAGCCAGTCGCATTATCACTGCTCCAGAAGAAGCACGTGGAATCGCATTATTGATAATTTTCTGACAGTTGTCCTAAAACATCAG